GCCATTAAACATTCAGGTTGGAAATTTCACTATCAAAGGTGCTCTTTTCCTGTCTGTACGGAACACTGAGTAATGTGCGCTACCAACTTATAAATAATTGTTTAGGCCTACGAACCCAAGAGATGGGCAATTGGTCTATTGGCTGTATGGTCTAGCGAGCAGCACATAGCGTTGAGAAGTCACATTGGAAAAGCGATTTGAGCATAATCCGTAAACCTCAGTTACAATCACCCACTGCAGTTGTCACTGTACACTTTACACAACCACCATTCAAGTGCCGTCAATGAGTTGAAACCTTTTGTGTAAGCTATTGGTAACGCTTATGTAAAAAATATCAGTTTCCCAGCCATATAGAACACTGATTCAAGGTCTTTTCCCCGGTTATCATGTAAAATGCTGTGTAAAATGGCTTTTGGTCCGTGACAGATGGAAGACAGACAGACAGAAATTGAGATGAGACTTGTTTCGGATTCTTGAATGTATAAAACGTAAAAATAACCTCAAAGTACAGACAAAACTCTAATTTTATTTATATAGATTTGTACCTCTGGTGATTTTTATTAGAAGTTTATTGAAGTAAATAAAGAACAATTTATAAACCATCCGACCAGTGTTTTTATTTAAAAAGTACGTAGGCCTATTTGATTGGCTTTGTTTTCTGAACTAAAATATCTATTTTCTGATCTATTTTGAGTTCCTGGATTCGAAACATAATTAGGCAAAACAATTATTTATTCATTAAACAACTTGATCGGAAAATAATTTCTTAACATTGGAGGACAATTTTAATCATAAAAAACTTTTGAATTCTAATAAACCTAGCTGCTGTACCTGTGTTTTGCATCGGAAAGGATTTTGAAGAGAAAAAGTTTGATACACGTCACATATATCAAATCCCACTCCAAACACGTCATGTTAATACGTTTACTTCCTTAAATTAAGAAAGTCACAATCTTCAATTAACAGGCTTGTAGCAAAAATTAAAAGTTTCACAATTCGAATAGTTTCTACCTTTTGGACCGTAAAATCAAAGCACTGCATTTACAGCTGACTTCGTTTAACATTCTGTTATCTACATTCTTCAAAAATGTAAACATTGTGAAACTTTGAAATCCCATGGGGTGTAACTCAAAGAAAACACGTTAAAAGTAATCGGTATATGTGTTAACCAGGTACAGGGCTACCTCTTGAATTTATATAGATAATAAATCGAAAAATAAAGAAAATATAAGTTGATTGATTATTGGCCGTTATAAGATAAACAATCACGAAACATGATTTGATTAAGTAACCACACATCACTGAGTCTATATCTTCATTCTCATGTAAAAATCGCTTCGATTGTGGCTATATATAATAGGGAAGTAAGATTTCACTGTACAACGAGCTCAGTAAGCTCGAGAACCAGCAATAAGTTGGAAATAACCGGCCGAACCTTTAACCATCCAGTGGCTCGCTAGTCGCTACCCCAGGTCGGTCGGTAGCCCATCAATGGAACCCGTTAGGTTCGCCCCTGCCTCTCGCCACAAGAGAGACAAGAATTTTGCCTTGTTCCACGCGCCTTCGATTGTTTGAGGCAGGAAAACTATCTATGTGCTACGGCCCGCGCAACACAGGATATTGTTTTCGTATTATAACTGTGAACGTTAATTTTATGCACTCCCTTGGAGAATAATTCAAAACTGCAAAGAACATTTCTAATCCCACAGTATACTAGATATTCAAATTATAAACACTTTGGTGTTTGAAAAAATATTTCTGGACGATAAATTAAATTTTGCAAATGTTCGAAATTATCCAAGGTGGCCGCTTGCCTCCAAGGACTCAACAATAGGCCTACTTGTGCGACTATAAAGCAATAACTCCCCCCCCTTGACCTTGCTAATTAGCTCGGTATACATATTTGTATCCACAGTTGGCAGGACAATAGCCATTAAGATGACCAAAGATTACATTGGCATTTAGATATTTAACCTGTAGAATAGTAATTTTTAAGTAATCTGGAAGACAACTAATTAAAATGAAGTGCGAAAGATTGGTTATGAGAGTGCTCAATGCTTGAAGCATTATCCGTTTGTTTGAGGTGCGGATTTTCATGCTTGTAGAACAAATAAATATTATACAAAGAAGAAGGGCAGGGGTGAAATTGACTGAAGTGACGGGATACCCGGTGGATTTTCAGTGACTGGATTCCAGTGGTATGCGGTAAAATATACAGGGTGTCCCGTAACTCTCTGGACACTTGTATATAGCGTTATTCCTTAGGTCAAGACAAACACATTTCACCATAGGAACATGGGTCTGTGGTGTCTAGTTTACCGACTGTCGGTATTTATGTGTTTTTTACAAAAAAACTAATAACTCCTAAACGGTTTGAGACACAGCTTTGATATTTTGCAAAAATGTTAATCTTATTAAGACCTATTATCGTTAGAAATTATACTAAAAAATCATTAACCGTTTCAAAATGGCGGCCATTTAAAATATTTGATGCCAAATTTCACAAAAACCGTTAACTTTACAAAAAAATTGCAAGAGACAAAAAAGTTTGTAAATTTTATGTAGTTTTCAATGATACCTGATTTGTTAAGATTGGATAAATAATAACAGAGAAACGTGTTGTTTTCTAAATGTATGACCACTTTTCTCCATTTAAACAATGCTAATACTCCTTTTACGTTGTTTAGCATTGTTTAAATGGAGAAAAGTGGTCATGCGTTTAGAAAAGAAGACATTTCTCTGTTATTATTTATCCAATCTTAACAAATCAGGTATCATTGAAAACTACATAAAATTTACAAACTTTTTTGTCTCTTGCAATTTTTTTGTAAAGTTAACGGTTTTCGTGAAATTTGGCATCAAATATTTTAAATGGCCGCCATTTTGAAACGGTTAATGATTTTTTAGTATAATTTCTAACGAAAATAGGTCTTAATAAGATTAACATTTTTGCAAAATATCAAAGCTGTATCTCAAACAGTTTAGGAGTTATTAGTTTTTTTTGTAAAAAACACATAAATACCGACAGTCGGTAAACTAGACACCACAGACCCATGTTCCTATGGTGAAATGTGTTTGTCTTGACCTAATCATCAAATCAAATCAAATCAAAATATCATTTATTTCGCAAAAAACAGACATAGGTAACATAATATTATGATCACTGAACAAAAGTATTTACAATATTATTTATTTTCCTAGGTTATATTTAATTTTCTATAAAAGCTTTTTAAATCAAGCGAAATTATCCCCCACAAAGGATAATTTAGTCCTGTGAGTGGGAGAGAGTCGTTATATTATTAGAGATTTTTTTAAATTATGAAAAAAAGGAAATTAGAACAAGTTAAAAGTTGAAAGTTTAAAGTTGCGCTGGAGGACTGAGCGAATGGTGCCCCCCCCCCTACCCTACCCACAAAAAAGATAACCTGCTACTGTACTTCCCAAGCACACCCAAACTGACCCAAACCCACACGCGCGCACACACCCACACACACACACATACACTCTGCTGCACTCACTCCGATACCAATTACCAACAGGCGGCTGGTAGCCCTAGGGCCGTCAATGCTCTGTCCCTGTGGCGCAGAATCGGGAACCGCTCACATACGTGCTTGCATACAATCGTTCTTTCACTCTATCAGCTGATGTGAGTGTAAATTTGTTGCCTGTAGGTTGATCATTGTCTGTAGGTTGAGATCAGTAAATTTTGAGCAGTTGATCTCCCAATGCTTTGTAGCCATAGGGTAATTTGTGTTTTGTATTTGACCAGTGGTTCAAAATAGTTTTCGCGCAAGTTGTAGGGCAGATTGTTGTAGATAGTGTGAGCAACATAGTAGCAATTTGTTGTAGAGTAGGTTCTATTTAGTCTCGGTAAATAAATTCCTCCACCTAGTGCATGTCTGGTTCTGTATTCGTGTGTTACTCTTTCAAAAATGTCATTCGAGTGTTTGAATATGTAAATAGTCATGGTTCGAATAAACAATTGTCTGATGTCGAGAACGTTCATTTCATTGAAGAGAGCATCCGGAGGGTAGCACCGACTCCTGCCTAAGGCTGCTTTTATTATCGCTTTTTGGGTGATAATTAATGGCTTCAAAATATAACCATATGCACAGCCCCAGGCTATTATTCCTCCGTCAAGTAGGGACTGCTTGTAAGCAAAATATGCAATTCTGATTTCTTCAAACTCCAAAATCTGCTGTAACTGGTTAAAAGCATAGATATATTTTCTTAGTTTATTATTTAGATATGATACGTGGTCTGCCCATGAAAGTTTAGAATCAATCATTATGCCAAGGTATTTATATTTTTTCACTCTATCTATCACTGGACAGTCACAATCCGAATCAAAGTTAGCACAAGAATGAATTTTCAACTCATTGATGAATAACGCTATATACAAGTGTCCAGAGAGTTACGGGACACCCTGTATAGTGACTGGCTTAGCAGCACAAATTTTACGTGACTGGCTTTCACGTGCAAATGCGGTGGTGACTGCATTAGCATAGCAGTTTTTACGTAATTATATTTTAGTATTTTTAAGAAAAAAAGAGATATATACATTCAGATATGTCTAGGCTTAAGATATTTACCAATATATATTATATATATATCATAGTCTTGAAATATATTGGGGGGTGCAACTGACTGACTTCCAGTGTATATTTCATGTGACTGACTTCCCGGGCGCGGCCGTGTATATATATATATATATATGATATATGTAGGCTATATAATGTATAATATATATAATATATTATATGTGTATATAATACACATATAAGTGTATTATATATATCTTATACATATATATAGTATATATATATAATATATCCAGGGTCCATACCATGACTACTACAGTAATAGCTTATTCCCTGTATGGGAAATTCGATAAAAGAACTAGGTTGTGAAACAAAAATCATTTTGTGTCTTTCTGATCATTAAATACTTCTTGTTATGTTTAAACCATGTTTCATCCACAATTTAACTTCCTAACTTACTTGAAGGCACTCTCAGTGATGATGCCACACTCGTCCAAGCCCTTGCTCAGCAGCCTGGCATAGTCCGAGGCAACATGTTGTTTTTCAGTGCCACTAACTGCGTCGTGATGCTGCATCACACCCATCGCTTCTCGCAGCACATTCAGATCTCCCCTAACTTCTGGCCCAAGGTTACTAAGGGTGTACAGCTGCTTGCAAACCTGTACAAAAATAACAAGCCAAACTTTTTAAACAATTCAAAGCTATTTGGGTACCCATCTACTCCTGATTGCTGTTGGTGGCGTCCATTTTATATAATCAAAAAGTTATTACATTTTGCTTAGCAGACACTCATACACAGACCGTCAAATACTCACTCCCAGAGGGTCTGAAGGAGGTAGAATATTAATTCTACCTCTCTAGTCACAGTTTGTAGATAAACAGGACTCATATCTTCTCAATCAAGAATCAAGAGCTTTATTGACGTTGACCTTTTACAAGGAATAGACACAGTCAATAGAAATAAATACCCCTGCACAGCAAACCTGCAGACTAAGCGAATTTCCATTTACCGGACTGGATTTCTACTAAAATATTCCATTAAAATTGTCAGATTTATTTCCTACAAGCGGAATGCCCGTGCTTCGCTACAGAAACTTGTAAATTGGTTGAAATTTTTAATAAATTAGCGTTTAATTGCAAAAACCCTTCATTCAACAATTCAGCTACAACCTGTTTTGCTCCAAACGATGTCATATTAAAGCAGCTATTATAATGTCTCACCCGGTCCATAAAGTGTTTATGCTCAGGGTGTTTGCCCATGACCAGAATGCATTAAAGTTCAGGTAGGTGCTGCAAATGAAGTTGCACTTTACCACCATTGCAGCACATGCCCGGTGTTTCTTCTCTTCATTTTAATGCCTTGCATTACAGTACTTTGTATTTAAACTTTAAACGTCATGGTACCTATCACCACCGAGCTATCACCTTCATAGTCTATTTTCGGATTATATGTCATTGCTGATGGATTTTTCACAATCCATTGAATCTTTGGCGAATGTCTATCAGGATGAGTTTGTTCATACTTTTTGTTTGCGTTCTTCGCCTGCTTTTTCCTTTGTTTGTCTGTGCACCTGCTACGCTGTTTACACCTTGGTTTATTCTGTTGAGATTCCGGGATCTAAAACGTCGAAGTGCCCGCTAGACAGGGATTGTGTAAATCTTGGTATTTTCACAGGATTACGTTCATCACCAAACATGACATATAATTCACCATTCCGATAAACCTCAAAAACAAATGTGAATAGTTGTCAACCAGCTTACACAACCCACCAAAGGTAAACGGCCTAGACATTTCATAGAAGTATTCCCTGGAAATAAGGTACTTAGTCATGCCACTGTCGTGGGATTAGACTGAGAAGAAGTCCCAGTTCCTCACAACATGTTCAACAATTGCTTCGCACACAGTTAGTGTGTATGTGCGTAAGGTGAATTATGAATGAGAGTGAAGTAAATTAAACAAGCACTATCTCCACTGATGTGAATGATATTGTGTGGAACGAATTTGCCATTACATTTTAAAACCTCAGTGATCAAACTATGAAGCGGTTTAAACAACTACAAAAATATTAACAGGACTATATCGTAAGTTCTTAAAAATTAAAATCCATAAGAAACTAAGTTCAATTATACTTTCTTCAACACTAATCACACTCACACATATTAGAGATGCAGCAGTAAATTAGGTTAATTTCACTGACACACAACTATGATGTTTATATGGTCCGAAATAACCGAAACGGCACACGGAAGATTTCTCAGGTGCCGTTTGACGTCACTAACTGTTGATGTCACTTTGAGGGAACACCAATACCGCAACGATACGGATTGAGCCATCGGCCTCGGTGGTGTAGTGGATAGCGTGTTGGGCTGATAATCCTATTGTACCGGGTTCGAATCCCGCTGGTAGCATTGACTTTTTGACTACAATTTTTTCATATCAGCAAGTTTGGTTAGTTTGGTTAGGTTATGACAGTTTAATTTTATAATTAAAAAATTATAAAATTCAATTTTAGGCATTTATAATTTCATTTCATGAACAAAACTATTTTTTAGATTAGTAAACCTTTATTCGATTTTTCCATTATCGGCACTATCGGCATTATCGGTTTGGTTAGTTTGGTTAGGTTATGACAGTTTAATTTAATAATAGAAAAATTATAAAATTGTCTGTTTCTTCAGACGCAGCAGTTAACTTAGTGACGTCAGCAGTTAGTGACGTCAAACGGCACCTGAGAAATCTTCCGTGTGCCCCACCGCCGAAATAACCTTAGTAAACAATTTGTATTCTAACAGCTGATGATTAAATAAATTGCAGACAAATGTAAACAAAACCCCAAAACAAACTAGCCTATTATTCTTCCTATACGAACTCCATGCTAACTTTGGGGCGGGGCCCATTGGGAAATTTGTAAAATCACTTCTTATTGTCTGCCTACGCTATGAGAGGAATATGAATGCATAAATCTCATGCTTCTAGGGGCTATGGTTTGGCCTGTGCGTTGATTGGAATTTCACATTTCTATATACATTTAAATAATATTTAATTTTAATATTTTTAATATTAATTTTAATGAGAACTAAGGTTTGCTATTACAGGGAAGGTATTGAGGTGTTTTTTATTGAAATGTTGATGGCTTAGAATAAAACAAACAAAATTGCTAAAATTGTTTAAAATAAATATATCCATAAACAAGCAAACTACAACAGTTTTTTAGCAAATTTCCCATATTTTTTTTTACGCTGAACCTTGTTTTTTGTTCAGCGTGGGTAACAATAGTTGTATCAATAGTCAAAGGTAATAGCTAGTTTAATATTACTTTCATTTTGCCTTTGTATTACAGTATTTGTTTTGTTCCTTCTTTTGAGTTGTTACATTGTTTTAGTTTTCTGTTAAAATCTAATACTAAAGGTTCCTGGTCTGCAAAACAACTTCCTACTGCATTTATCTTATCTTACTAATATTATTATAAATGTGAAAGTTTGTGTGTTTGTTTGTTTATTTGTATGTTTGTTTGAAGTTCAATCACGCATTAACTACTGGACGGATTGGGCTGAAATTTGGCATGATGATAGCTCACATTCCCGATTAACATATAGGCATATTCTTATCTCAAAAATCCTTTCGGGCTCCGCCCCAGTGGCTTTGTTGTTCGCCATATTAACCTTACGAGTATTCATATTTAAAGGGAATTAAAGAATTTAGTCAGATGTTTCAACTAAAAAAGTTTGTTCTATGATATGCAAAAAGCATTAAAATGTTATAAGATTTACCAACAGGGTGCAGCACTATATTTTTGCATTTATGAAAACAGCTAAATTGAACTAAGCTGCAACAAAAAACTGTGATACGCGATGAGAACTGTCAAAATAGGATAGTTTACAGTTATGTTTTTAACTTCATGAATGAACTTCATAAGCGAATGCTATATTATTGTTATTAAATATTTTTTCCATCTTGTTTTGTTGTAAGAATGTAAAAATGGAGTTTGTCTGTTGGAATGTAAAATAAATAAATAAATGAATAATTAATTTCTGATGTTTTGCCAATTTTTTATAATTTATTTTTCTGTATTGTTTAGGTAAAGTGGTAGAACATTATGGCTATGGTAGATGTGTAGGTAATAAATATTATAGTATACTGTAAATTTAAAGAAGCAAATTTGATCAAACTGTGTCCTTCCCCATTGCAAACGTATAGCTTAAGTATAACTGCAATAAGCATTTTATACTTGTATGCCAACCCCGTACGAAGGATGGGTAGGCCTACTCTGCTAGTATTATATAAATCTGATGAAAAGTTTTCGGTTATACCCAAGTAGCAAAAATCGTTGGCAAATCGTTGGCCCAACGTTTCTGTCGATCGTTGGCCAACGGTATGTTTTGGCACTCAGTCTTACGGTTGGCCAACCAACCAATTTTTGCGGAAGGGCCAAACCATCCCATTGGGCATAAACATAAAAAACACAAAATAATAAAGATTTTGTATGAAAAGCATAATTATGAGTTGAGTAAATTGATTAAATAGTTCATAAAAACTTATTTTGAAAATAAAACGAGATAAAATTCTTGGGGCCAGGACAGGTCTCGAACCCGGTACCTTCTACATGTGAGCCTCACGCCTTACCTCTGAGCTAACTGTGCTTGCTGAATATGAGTGTTTTCAAGTGGTGAAAGAGTAGCCGACAGGTGCAATGGTCACAATTAATACTTTAAATATTTTTGATGCTACAGTATAGTATGATTCTGTTTAGGCCTCAAGTAGTTGAATTGTTTTTCTGGTAGTTGGAGAGGATACTATAGTATTTGAATATAGATTATTTAATTACCATTAGATTAGTAGGCTACTGTTATAATTGATTGTTATATAATTAATTAATCTTTTCTCTATAACTATTAAAAACTTGCTTAAATAAGTTAAAGAATATAAAAAAAAATGAATGATATTAATTATTATTTGTTAAGCAGGTGTTCCCCACTGTATCTAGTATCACAACATCATCTGACTACATTCATTATTGATCCAATTTTTTACAATATTTAGCTTATATTCTGCTGCCATAACATTTATGTACTTTTAAATAAATCAATTTGTTAAAATTCGTTTTAGAATGTTTTATACTTAAACCCAACGAATGCCCAACGAAGGCCCAACGATTCTTTCCTTTGTAGGGCCAACGAATACCAGTTTCCGTTGGGCCAATGTTGGCAAATCGTTAAAATTTCTGCCAACCATTTCCCAACCGTGCCGACCATTTCCCAACGTTGGGCCAACGATGTGTGCTACTTGGGTATTATCTACTAGCTATGTACCCGTTCTACGCACGGGGATCTTATCAGTTGAAACCTTATATAAAGAACAGCAGTTGATTTGCATATTTTCAGATATGCTGGCCAAACTATTATACATAACTCCATTTTATGTTGTTCGTTGTTGTCCCGGATTGGTATGACAATCAATAAAAGGTTAAATTACCTGTGTCCGCCGGTCGATCCTAATGTATCCTATTACAGGAGATGCGTTTCGGCGAAATTAAATCGCCATCATCAGTCCTAATATAAGGTCTTGAGCTTCCCCATTATGTGCGTCTTGGAGTTTTTGAAACACATACACGAACTGTACACTTATACACATGACGAGTAAAACATAAATACACGGTATGCCTACTTTTATTTTTACTATGGACATGTAGACGCGCGTCGGTCGTGTGCCGAGTCTCGACTGAAAACGCTCATTTAAAAAATGAAGTTTTCCAACCATATACAACACTGATTCAAGGTCTTTTTCCCGGTTATCAAAAATCAAGAACAATTTTATACACAAAGAATCTCTATTTTCATTTACGGTCACCCTACAAATTATTGCACTTGCGATTAATTAAATCCGTTATGTAAGGAAAAACGTTTTTAATCTTACTTGGTTTGGGTTTGTTTTCAAAACGTGATCGGAATTGGTTGCGGTATTTGTAAACAACATTCAATGTAAACATATCAGTGGCAGCTAGAAGAAATAATCTTGATTCGAACAGCTGTTCGTTATTTTATAGATGAATATGTGATAAACATTGGGAGAAAACTTTACAAAAAATCGCACAAAATTGGGGTTTTAAACGTCCGTCATTTTATATAAAAATTGTGATGCCATATTTTAATGGCTAAAGACAATCTACTAATCCAGTGAATACATTAAAATGATTTGGAACTTGATAGGTACTCTCGTTTTTCAGGAGAAGGCCGCGTAAAATGGCTCTTGGGCCGTGACAGACAGGAAGACAGACAGAAATTTAGATGAGACTTGTTTCCGTTTCTTTAATGAATAAAACTTAAAAATAACCTAAAAGTTTATAATTCTGAGCAATGTACAGACAAAACTCTAATTTTATTTATATAGATGCATGATTTTCCCCTTGTTGGCTTTTTATTTGTAGAAACTAAATTCAGACTTCGCTACATATAGGCAAATTCAATAGATGACTATTTTCCATTTTTATCATTTCTATGTTAAAATCACCTGCAATAGCAACAAATTTAAATGACTTTAACAGTTTTTTCGCAGCAAGCTCAACATTTTCCAGAAACAAACCATATCACCACTAGGGGTTCTGTAAACACTTAAAACTATAAGATCGTAAACAATTTTTTTAATACAGCTAAATTCACAATGAAGCTCAATGCAAAATTAGCTAACATCTTGTTCAGTACGGTTTTGTAAATATGGTAATTAGTAATTTCATCATTAATCATTAATTTTATCAACATTTAATTAACAGTGTGCATAGGTTTTTAACATTTTATTCATATATTAGTTATTTATTTTAAGTCTGTAAAATGTATTCCACTCTACTCACACACACACACACACACACACACACACACACACACACACACACACACACACACACATCAAGGCAATTCCCCTCCCCATATTCTCCTCAAAATCATACGATGCCTACGTCATATGGCATGATATATCTCTGTCTCTTTCCCTCTCATGGAAAACTCAAATTTCCCCACCTCAATTTTAGTTAGTTAGCGTCTAAAACCTTCCTTGATCGGACGTATGTGCCGCGCCGCGCCGTTATTATGGCAATCTTGGTCTTTTGACCACCTCGTGTGGAAGTGACCCCACATTAAAACCTCTCTCTCTTAGTAATAATAATACAGTAGAGTCCCGCAAACTCGGCTCTCGATAACCCGGCAGTCTGGATAACTTGGCCATCACCTGGCTCAGAAAATTAGTGATTTTTTGAGTCAGAGTTAATCATGGACTCGAGCCAGCTCAAGTCAAATTATTCGCAACTGGTACTAAGGATTTGTTGTACTATATCTGATGACTTAATACTGACTTGTAATTTAACCCTCCGAGTGTCCCTTGTTTTGGCCTTAATGTCTGCCTATTTTTAGCTCATTTGCAAGGTTTTATTAAAACGGATCTGAGAAGCTTAAAAACAATGTTAATTATACTGTTCTATATACCATTTTGTTTGGAAAATCATGGGCTTCAATATTATATATAAAACATAAGGAACATTTGTTTAAAAAAAATTTTTTAGTTAAAAAAAATATTTTGGAAAATTAAAAAAAAAAAGTTTGCACTCAATGAAATTGTATAAATTATAGGCCTAAAAATATTTGAAAATAGCCACTTTGTTCTAAATTTTATGAGGATTACAAATATATAATCATATAGTGAGGTAAGTTATCAAATAAATAAGTTATGAGTGAAAAACAGATTTCAGTACATTGCGTTTAGCTAAGAATGCATAGCCTAACCATAGCTAGGAATCTGGCTGATAATTTACATCAATATCACTACCTACTTCTTCAGGATCATCAACCAGCCCTTCAAAATCACTTAAATCTTCTTATAATGCACCACGTATATCACTACTTTTGATTTTTAACACTAAAACAATGATAAATGTAATAAAACACATCAGTCATCGGTCCGAGGATAACCAAGCTGGCAACTAATACGCACGTCAGCTGTCTGCTACAATTACGATCGGCTCGGAGAACATACAGCGCTGAGACAGACCTCTGGAGAAAGCTTATAATTTAACGAAAAGAACGATACCTAACTCGATCCAGTTCAATCCGATTCAGTCAGTCATAGAGCCTTTGCCGTAAACAGTGTTCGTGAGTCGCTGCAGCGACGCATGACACTACACAAAGTGTGTTACGCGTTGCTGCAGCGACGCATGACACTCGGAGGGATAAATATAAATAAAAAAAGGCGGTTAAAAAGCTTAAAAACTTTATTGTTCTTATTTTTAACCCTAGCTCCCGATAACCCAGCATTCCACAAACACGGCACCCTTCCAGTCCACATTACGCTGAGTTTGCGGGACTCTACTGTAATAATAGGTTAAATACCTTATTTACGTCATCAATCCAAGTCGTCTTTTTATAATAACTATAGTTTCGGGGCCAACAGCCCCATTGTCATATTTTCTGTCTCGTTAAATTACTGTTAATAGCATTGGTCATCATTGAAGTTCACATATACACATACACTGACACACCAAACATTTATATTTACACGTATCAATGAGAATTTATACTTTTGGCCTGCTTAAACAAAAGTGATTGTAATGTTGTGCAGGCCGGTACACTGACTGACTGATTCATGTTAGCCGATACCCTCTCTCTCTTGTATCAGTGATTAATAATATTAAATTCTCCCTTTCGAAGTGTGTGCAGAGTGCATCAGAACTTTCAGATCTTCTTGTGTGTCCCTCAGCGTGGTGAGCTCACCCAATCCCCATTCCCCCTGCTACCTTCCAGTGTTGGGTTTTCTTATTGAAAGGTATGTGCGACTGTTTTCTTATAACTCTCTATTAACACCCATATCAAACACATCTATTTTGGTAAATGTTAACCCTTCTCTTAAAAATATTCCTACCCCACCATTTTTATACTTTTCCTACTCATGATATCTGCAGCAATAAAATCTTTAGGAACAAAGAATTCAACTTCCTGCTCCTCTAACCAATGTTCAGACACACATATTGCATGAACTTGCTCTATGGCACAAAAGTGTTCTAATTCTAACATTTTGTTCCTAATAGACTGAATATTAACCTGATGGCTATGACACAGGATTTTTAAATAATTTACAAAATAGGACCTAATAGCCAATTTAAGTTTTTCCAACTGTGTTTTTCCAACGTCCTATTATGATTACGTTTAGTGAAAAATTAAAGAAGTTCCTTTTTTTTAGCTATGCCCAGTGTCCACTAACAGATGTGTCGATATTAATAAGTTTACCTACTTGAAGGAAATTGTTTCCGATTCGCTCGTAGTACTTGAGGGTTGGTCGTGAAGTGAAGTAGCCTGTCCAGAAGGAGTGAGGGTCGCTGGCGTAAGGGAAGAAGTCATCCTGCTTGGTTGACCACTGCAGCTTCTCATCATTGAGAGCTTTAAGGTAGCAAGACGGTGTCGAGTACATGAGATTGATATTACTTCCATTGGTTACTTGTTGGGAGTTCACAGCTCTGAAAAAAACAAAAAAAAAAACACAATACATCATTATTACATTATCAATGGCTTATAAATACTACATATGAGAGAGGAAGTTCTAAATTTGAAATTTGTTGCTAATGATATTATTTTTAGTTAATTTGTATCATAGCTGAAGCACAATAGTAAATTTGTGAATTTAAAAATACCTCGGACAAATCTTGTACAGTTATCTTGTAAAAGATTTTTCATAGGGACAGAATAGAAATTGGTACATAAAATGTTTCTATAAAATATAAAAATTGTATAACTACTGATACTGAAAAACCAGTTTTGCTAGTTTGGATCTGTTTTAGTGAATTTCCCAAATAGGGAATGAGCTATTACCGTAAAAGCCTACTCATGGTAAGACCTGGTTTTGAAGTCCCTAGTTAACCATCCATAGTTGACGAACATATAATTATATATATGTCCGTTAGCATGATAACTCGAGCAAAAATGATCCGATTTTGATGAAATTTGGTACAAATGTGTCGACTTACATTTATTCAAACGAGTTCGCGAACCAGCATGATCGGACTATGGGAACAGGAGTTTATGGGGGGTTTTATGGGGTAAAAATGGGGTTTTCCCATTTTTGACCCTAATAACATAAAATTTGCAATTTCTTTTAAACCATTTTGTTGAGCATAAAAAAAGAAATAATTTAGTATGTTGAAGTGTTATCATGCGCCTAATGGTTACAGAGAAAATAAAAAAAATAGCAATTTTAAAATTCCTATGTTATTCTTAAGGAGAATAAATAAACTGTTCTTGTTTGCCTGTTTATGATCATATTTTGATCAAATTTGGAAAATGCATTTATTTAATACTAAACTATTAACATTTCACAAAAACACTTTATTAACCTCCCTGTTGCAGCAAACCTAAGTACTCTTTAAACAAATGCTATTTAGATAGGGAATAAATGTGATATTTTTAAGAAGATATTTTATTGCAAATCCAATTAGCGGCAGGGGTATTTTATATTCCTGTAGCTCTACATTTTTAATCCTGCTCTAAAATTAAATGATTTTTAACTATGTTACCGTACTCAAAAATTTTCTTTTTTTAAAGAATCAGCTTAAGTGAATACTTTGGGAAATTACTATAGTATATTCTACCATTTACATTTTAAAACTCATTTTCTAAGGTTCAGCTTAATATGTAACCATATAAGTATCATGATGTTATACATTAAGTGGCTCACATCTTTAAAATTCACTGTTGTGCATAGTAAATGTGATTTTTGTAAACATGCATTATATTGTATTGTAGTAGAGGCAGATGACAAAAAATAAGATGCATACTAATCACATGCACGATGCCAATCAGTTTAAAACCAAGGGAAAACAAACTACATTCTACAGCAAACTGGGCTATATTGTGGACAACAATCACATAAGACCATGGAGCATGCGAGACGTGATGTTAAGCAATTTGGCTGCCGGCCATGAGAAGCCCTAGTGATGAGCACTCCTAAACATAAAATATTAATCGATTTCAAAAATATGTGTAACAATATGCCTTGGCATTATGAATGGTGTCCAATAACCAAGTCGATTGCCTTCTAAACCAGCTTTTTGAATTGTTCAAGTGTTACAGTTTTTGGAAAAAGATAATTATTATAATTAACACAAAGAACTATTTGGGTGAAGCAAACATTCTGAAAACTTGAATTAGTTCATAATATATCTATTGTATTAAAGATGGTATTTGAAACTATAAAAACAACGCTCTTTTAAGTTCTGAGTTCCATATTCATTTTTATAAACAAGCTACAAATATTTTTGTATAGGTAGAATTAACAATTAAACCATGAAAATTGTTATAAACTCTGGGTTTTTCTAAGTAGTTAAACTACTTTTTTGTACAGCTCCAAAATCAAGTGTGTAAACTATTTCCTCCGACATTATAGTCCGGCATTGTCAGACGCTAAACTTTTAATTAATTACTAATATAGTGTCCAAGACTTATTGATCTCACTCATATGGTAGGACTATTTAAACTATTTACCTTAACTTTAGGTAGGCTAGATGCGGAGTTATTTGCAAGCATATCATTCGTTTTTCTGTAATTATCATCTACACTTCTGTGTACTTGACTGTGTTTCAGTTGTTACAATGTTAGTTGGATAGGCATTCTCTATCTATTGGTGTGATTTTTGACTGTAGAAACTGTGTTTTACAAGTAATAGTCATGAGCAACAAGTATCGTCTGATAACAAGAGTGTAAAACACCGCTTAACACGTTCGCTGCTGAGCGCTAGATGCCGGGACGGCGCCAGTTGCTGAACTACGCTCGGCCGCTGCGTGACATTGCCACCGATACACTGAATTACAGTAAAAACAACAGTAGTTATACTGGATGGCAATGTTCTGCAATAAAACTGGCTTTGGATATAGTACTAAGTGATTCTGATAGATAGCAGCACTACCCAGGTTACAGTCGGTAAAGTAGTGTCGCTATCTAGCAGGAAAGAGGTAAAACAAAGCCCTGTTCCAAACGACCCTGGTGGTGATTTGGGAAACTATATTTTTTATTGTCAGAAAAGTACGTCCCCACGAGCTGCAAAGAAATATAGAACCCTTGTGACGTGCTGGCTTATCCATAGCAACGTTAAACAACAATGAACGGTGACGTTCTGGAACGTTCTTAGCTCCTGGCGCCGTGGCCCGGCTGACGTTCCGGAACGTCCGTAGCAGCGAACGTGTTAAATACTTCCAAATACTGTAAGATCCTACCAAAATATCGCATTTTGATAAGCATTCATCATTCTACCTATAGCGTTGACTAATGGACACTGAAGTCAATGAATACAAACCCTTTAAGAAGCGCAATGCCTTTGTTAATGGGAATATTTGAATTTCGGATAGTTCCCACGGGCCGCTAGGTAGACTATCACAAGTGTGCGGCCAAGTCAGCTGACAGATGCAACCTACTCCTCTTTATTAATGGATTTCAAAATATACTTAAAATAGATAATACAATTCCAATGAAGTTACAATAAAATATATTTAGGTTCTATAGCTATTACAACAATCTCATTGGGCCATGACAGTGAAATTATATTTTGGTCTAGGTTTTTTATGATGGGCTAGGCTAGTTAACAATTTGGAGAGCAAATTATCTTAATCTAGGGGTTGGTTCGTGCCGGGTATGAAATTTTGATAGGCTAATTAACTTAATTTATACAGTACTAAAGTAGGCTAAATAATATGAGATAGGCTAATAATGAGAATAAAAAAATTTAGGCTATAAGTTCTTAATTTGAAAGTCACTTGAATTTAGTCAATTCACAATGTGGTGGCTGGAAATTGATGATGAGTTTTTTAAGTGTTAATTGAGGTTGATATTACCGATTTTGTTGAATAGTGATTTTTTTCTTTCTTTATGTCTCTTTATATTCAATATTTATATGTATTCTGAATGTTAATTTTTACTTTTGGATATTTAAATCACTGGAGACTTGGCTCCCACATCCATCTCTCTCTATATCTTCCACCACAAGCACATTTTCTTCCTTTTCTTTAGCTTTCCTTCCAACAATGCTACTTCACACCTGGACACTGGACAGTACAAAAGAAATATTTCCTACCTAGACACCATTTAATTTTAAAACATTATTTTTGAATATAGTTTTCTTCTTCACTAATAAGCTAAATTATATTTCACTAATTATATTTCATTAAATTTAAATATTCTTTTTGAAAATACAGTAATTAATAAATATTGAAAGTAATTTAGCTACAATTCACATATGAGTACATTCATGTTTTATCTCACAGAGTAAGAGAGAGTGAGACAAAGAATCTGCAAATTCTGAGAATATTTTGAGAGAGAGAGAGAGGGGGGGAGAGAGAGATAAAGATAGTAGAGTAGCACAGCCGCCGTGTGAAAAAATTCCTAGCACTAAAATTCGGCGGCAAATTTCCAGTCTGACTATTCTCTATAAGCATTTCGCTTCTTAAAGGTATTCATTTGTTAAAGTAGACATCCTATCTATATGGAACAGCGGTACCCAATTTTTTGTTAAAAAGAAGATGGGTGAGCCAGTCACAGAATGTGCTAGTGTCTAAAATTCTATTTTTTATTTTTTTTTTGTTGCTGACCAAGTTTATGGGTCTTTACAGTTACTATAGCTCTAGCTCACAATAAGTCAATTAATTTTTTTGACATGGTAAACGAAGTTTGTGTATTCAACAGAAATCAGTACATTCGATCAACACAGTCTGTTGGCAGCTCACATCAATTACAAAGATTTTGATAAAGAAACTGGCAACAACTTTTACATGGGGATAGAATTTCTAGTTGTATCAATAGTCAAATTTACCCTTTTAGTGCTAGGCTAATACTTCGTATTTCGTAAGACTTTTTTGTTTGCCTTTCAATTCCATTACCTGTTGTTGAATTTTAACTGTAATGCTGTCACTATTTTAATGATTAGGCTAATTTTGAACAATAAGACAATATATAACAAAGATAAATCCTGGTATTTGTAGTAGGTAAACATTAAATAAAACTTAGTTTTTGTTATAAATTTCCAAGTTTTCTTATAAATTGTAATGTTCTGATGATAGCATATTGTTTGAAACCAAAATCTCATAAAATCAAAAGATATCTAGTTTACAATGTAATATTGAATTTAACCTTGATTTAGTTGGATAAGGTTGTCGCAATTTAGCCATTTTAGGGAAAATAATTTTTTGCAGCAAAGCCTCAGTAACACAATTTATGATCATTATTATGGTTCAACTGAAAAAAAATCATCTAAATAGTCCGTGACTAACTAGTGCTGCTACCTAGTAACGCATCGAACAACCTGCTGTAGCGCTATCTGTTTGCAATCGTTGGCGTCAGCTTAAAAACCAGTTTTTGACTCCTCATCCTACAAGCACAGATAGTCAAGAAGGCTAGGGCGTGTGTCACTTGGCCAGTGGCATTCGTCTGCTCGGGTTCGATTCCCGTCCTGTGTGGCAAATAATTGGTGACCTGTGTGTTTGTAGCGATATACTACAACCACTGGGGCATAGTGAGGGGTTCATAATCCTTGTTTTTAGACATACACCTCGAATCATCGGATTGGGCGAATCTTTTAGCTAAGTCGTTGTTAGTGTATCCTATGAACATGCAGGTCACCAATGACCGTTTTGCTACTTTTTGTTAAAATAACCTTCCTCTCTACATCCCTTAGAGATTTAAAATAACAACGATATATCGTTGCATAGCACTGAAAGGGTTAAAGAGGTTGGCGGCCTCTTTTAACTTTGCATTTGCCCGTCCACAAAGATTAACTGCCTGTGCGGGGAACGTATCAAACAAAGCAAGGGGTGAGCCGGTACAGTGTGGACTGTACTGATAAAATGTTTTTGGCAGTGACCAGGATCCGAACCCACAACATTGCTGCCTTGGGCCCAAAGTCTGTGACGCCACCGACTCACCAACTGTATGCATGTAAAGATAACAACAAAATTCAAAACTTAGTAATAAATATACCACTTATCTATATGGATACTTATCTCAAATATACCACCACCATAAATGCTTTTTCATAAAAATTAAAATTAAAATTAAAAAATCTTTTTATTTATACTTTTTAACCCTCCGAGTGTTATGTGTCGAAAAATCGACACATAACACACTTTGTGTAGTGTTTTGTGTCGATTTTTCGACTCACAAACACTGTTTACGGCGAAGGCTCTATGACTAGATTCTAAGCTTTCTCCCGAGGTCTGTCTCTAAGCGCTTTTTTTTCTCGAGCCGATCATAATTGTAGCAGACAGCTGACGTGCGTATTTGTAAACAGCTTGGTTAACCTCGCACCGATGACTGATGTGTTTTATTACGTTTATCATTGTTTTAGTGTTAAAAATCAAAAGTAGTGATATACGTGGTGCATTATAAGAAGATTTAAGTGATTTTGAAGGGCTGGTTGATGATCCTGAAGAAGTAGGTAGTGATATTGATGTAAATTATCAGCCAGATTCCTAGCTATGGTTAGGCTATGCATTCTTAGCTAAACGCTATGTACTGAAATCTGTTTTTTGCCCATAACTTATTTATTTGCAAATCTACTTCCTTATATTATTATATATTTGTAATCCTCATAAAATTTAGAACAAAGTGGCTATTTTTAAATATTTATAGGCCTATAATTTATACAATTTCATTGAGCGCAAACTTATTTTTTTTTTTATTTTCCAAAATATTTTTTTTACCTAAAAAATTTTTTGAAATAAATGTTCCTTATGTTTTATGTATAATATTGAAGCCCATGATTTTCCAAACAAAATGGTATATAGAACAGTATAATTGACATTGTTTTTAAGCTTCTCAGATCCGTTTTAATAAAACCTTGCAAATGCGCAAAAAATAGGCAAACATTAAGGCCAAAACTACGGGACACTCGGAGGGTTGAAGTCTTTTTACTAACTAACTACTCATGTTTGATATTTAATTACACTATTTCCTTCTAAATGAGTTTTTTTATATGATGAAAACATATACACTGTCAGAGATTTGCCCAATATTGGCTTTAAAAACCAATATTAGACAAATAAAACGGGTGATTTTTGTAAACTGTTTGTCGACACTGTATTTATTTAATTCAATTAAAAGTTGATCTTGTGATGTAAATATCTTTAGGCCTTCTTTAGTGTTGACTTGTTATTTCCCACAGTTGATAAAAATGTCAAAAGATATCAAATGTGTGGTACAGTAGAACCCCTCATATCCGACCTCGGAATAACTGACTCCTCGGGATATCCGACAAGTGTCCGGCCGTCTACTTGTTTCCTGTTTAAGGCGATAACGCCGAGTGCAATCGGTTGACCGAAAGGCCAATCGCGGATGTTGCCTTAATCGCGGCAGACGATCACCACTGTCGCCGTCGCGGGAGACAATTACCAAAGTCGCGGAGACTGCAAGTTATGCGTGTTGTTGCGATCATGGGAGACGATTACTGATATCGCGAAGACTGCAGGTCATACTCCTCCCGATATCCGACCTTTTTGCCATTTCGACCATGGCCCGGTCCCATCATGGTCGTATATGAGGGGCTCTACTGTATTACCAAAATAGTTATTGTTTAAATTCCCCCATAACATATCATGCTTCCCCACTGCCTGCATTTTTTTGCTGCAGCATTTATTTTTAAGTTGAATTGGATTATGTCATCGAGGTTAAAATTATATGGGAACTCTAATGTTACCCATCAACTACCCATGTTACCCAAACATGTTACCTAAACAGAAATAACTTAACATTTTTATGTTACCCTTCATCTATAGTATACTAATATTATTACGTGATTAGTCGGTCAATATTGGCGAAGTAGATATGAGCTGCTTGAAAGTTAAAGTCATCCCCCATAGCTACAGCTATGTTAGACCCGTGATACACAAGATGTCTAGCCAGTATCTCAGCTCTGAACTGAGTCGCCTGTAAAACACCACAGTTTCATTCAACTAAACACTACCGCCGCATGCCTAACTTAGGCTTACGTAATGAGGGAGTCCATGTTTCTAAAATTTATATGAGCAGCCTGATATTGGAAATCTTCACCCATAGTTACAGCTATGTTTCTTCCATTATATTTTTTTTATACCTTTTACATTTTCAACAAATGAAGTAGCCTAAAAATAAAATTGGGGAAGTGTAAGTTTGCAGCTGAGAGAAATGATCGATCGATCATTGAGATGGGAAGGCCACCAAGGTGCGTATTTTAACCCAAATATGAGTGAAAGATGAGTGTAGGATGGTGTGTGGACCTGTGTAGCTTTGTTACTGACTAAGATCAGCGGTTTCATTAGTCAGGATAATTTATTTAAAGCCCAATGATCAGGAACAGCTGGGGTCCAGTTTCGAACCATCAAAAAGCTACTGACTTTTCTCAGGATCGAACCGGCGACCTTTTGATTACGAGGCGAGCACTATAACCACTCAACTACCCAGCCAGTTGAATAATGGATAACCAGAAATAATGAATGTCAATAAATAGTAAAACAGACATATTTTTCTTCATCAAAACTTGTATTCAATAAATAACCAAAGTGAAAGTAGTACAGGGTGTTTTTAAAAGAATGCCGGGATTTTAAATGGTAATTGCTTGGATACTATTCAAGGTAACTAAATGTTTTATACGTCAAATTGAAGCTAAAGTAACTAATTTTTTTCCCCGTGTAGCAAGGGAGGAAACTTTGACCTTGGCATGCGTAAAACAGGTGCGAGGTGATAGGCCGCTATTGTGACTCATACGCCTGACGCCAGTTGCCAGTACGACGTTTATGCCGCAACAGAAGGCACAGAATGTAATCTGTAGTTCGCAGAGTTTGTATCTATTGCTAAATTAAACTAAATTTAAATCTATTTGATGATAAAGACACTTGAAGCTGGTTTAATGAGTTTCATGGCACCGAAGTGTTTTGAAAAGACATTCAACTGGCCGGCTAAAAACAAGCGATGACATAGCCGAAGAAATCCGACAATTCTTCATCATAAGCCCGAAAGAATCGATTGCCCGACGAAGTCTTCAGTTTAACAAACATAAATTGGTCACTTTAAGATGTTATCTATAAAAGATATAGTTTTTGTGCCAAAAAAGATTCAGTTAAGAAATTAGATAAACCACCCGATCGCCCTAAGCGTAAGGACTTTGCCAGTTTTACGCTCATATAAGATTGATGAAAATCTGAATTTTATTAAATCATTCCAAATTGTATGAAAGAATGAGAAAAAAACGTTATTATTTTCACTTCAATATGACGTTTAAATCGTTTGATTATCTTGAATAGTCCCCGAGCAATGACCGTTTGGAATCCCGGCATTTTTTTAAAAACACCCTGTATGTACAGACCATATTTGTGTTATAAGCAAACAATAATTGTGAAAGAAGTTACCTGGTTTAACAGTTTGGAATTACTTTAATTACAGTAAAAAAAATTGTAGAGAGATTGTAAATTATTGAAAATCAACTGTGAGATGACAAGTTTCAGGTAAGAGAGCATAAATTAACATATATTGAAAATATCATAAACAGCATCAGTCATCTATTCTACGTTCGATCAGCTTTTCATTCCTGTATAGGGGGAGAAAGACAATTTTATGAAGTAAAACATTTTAAGCATGATTTCCTCAAATAAATGTCTATTCTAAAGCAAGACAAGACAATAAGCCATCAAGACTCAAAAGCAACCAGAAAAGGAAAAAGTAAGATGGTCTTACGTCAATACCTGATAAGCCTATCAATGTTAACAAGGTGGTAATGTGCATCCTGATAAGTAAAATCTCCTCCCATTGTGATGGCTATGTTGTTCTTTGATTTATAAAAATTCAGCTGTTGAAGTATGTTCCTTTCAAACTCTGCTGCCTACAATTTTAATATAGTATTTAGTAAGAATAAGCAACATAGCATAATATTAGCAATAAAAATGTGATTATTTTTTTGATTCACTGAAACATGGAAACCTGAATAAAAAAAAACACTATTTCTATGTATATAATAAATAATTAAACATATACTTACACATTAGGTACCGGTATTTAAAATAATATGTTGCTTGATTTAAGACACTAATTAATTTGTTTTATTTCATTTTCACGAGGGCATACAAAAGATGTATTAAAATATTCATAAGTGAATGACCAAAAACAAAACCCCAAACCTACTTACCCGTTTGTCAGCATTGTAGTCTGGGCTCTTTTTATCATCAATTACTGGTTCATCCTCACATAAAATATCAAAACAAAATCCTTTAGGTGCTGAGTAGGTATTGAACAAAACACCAGTAAACAAATCTGCTTCTTTGCCTGAAATATGTTTCATCGTTCATTAGCTGTATGCGTTCTAAAACACTTATGAGTGAAATTTTAATTTTTTCTTTATTTTACTGTACATTGAATAATTGAAATTGACTTTGTGTCCAGCCAGAATTAAGCTCCAGCCCTTCATTTAATTTAGCCCTGGAAGGGTTAAACATCACCTTCAGCTTTAGTTATTCAGTGGTTCGTTCACCCTATATATAATTGCATTATTACAAACTGTACTTTATTATTTTAAAATTGTACTTTGGTCAATGCAAAGTAAAGTCAACTGTGAACAATTTATATATCTTAACAAAAATCAAATCTAACCCTATCTAAGTAAAACCATACATACCAAGGTTCGGACTTGCTTCCCAGATCATTTCCATATCTTTGTGTATTAGTCTTGTGGCTTTATCCATGTAGTCGATCCTGCCTACAAACAAACCATCAAAGCCCAGACGTGCCATGATAGAAGCCGTCTCTCGAGAATGTCCGAATGGGTCGATTTGCCATCCTACCTTGGGAACTCCGCATTCCCCAAAAGTATCATTCAACTTCCTGTAAACATCACCATTTACAAAAATACATCAATCACATTGTTTTATATAGTTCACCATACTTCACAAAGAAATAAGTACTTTTATGTTGTTTAATATCAGTGACTCTGTGAAGTTACCAGCACATTATAACTCACAAATAGCAGCAAAATCCGGATTTGTCCGAACACAATACAATGTACAATATTGATGTAATATGTTTCGTATTAACATATTGACTTGTGTTCTTTAATATGTTATATAATTTATGCCTGCCTTCTTTCTTTATTTTAATTGAACCAACATATGTTTTATTATTATTACTTTGTAAATAATGTCCAAATATAATACACATCTTTTTTGTCAAAGTCTTGTCTGTCTTACTAATATTATAAATGTGAAAGTTTGTGTGTTTGTTTGTTTGTTTGTTTGTTTGTTTGTTTGAAGTTCAATCACGCATCACGCATAAACCACAGGACGGATTGGGCTGAAATTTGACATGATGATAGCTCACATTCCCGATTAACATATAGGCCTATTCTTATCTCAAAAATCCTTTCGGTCTCCGCCCCAGTGGCTCTGTAGTTCCCCATGTTAACCTTATGAGTATTCATATTTAAAGGGAATTAAAGAATTTAGTCAGCTGTTTCAACTAAAATTGCTGGTTCTATGATATGCAAAATCATTAAAAAGTTATAAGATTTACCAACAGGGTGCAGCACTATAATTTCCTTTGCATTTATGTAAAAAGCTAATTTGAACTAAGCAGCAACTAAAAACTGTGATATGCAATGAAAACTGTCAAAGTAGGATTCTTTACAGTTATGTTTATGTTTTTATTGTCATGAATAATTTGTGATTTTTTGCAAATTTTTAATAATTTATTTTTCTTTATTGTTTAGGTGAAGTGGTAGAACATTATGGCTATGGTAGACGTGTAATACCATAGTATACCGTAAATTTAAAGAAGCAAATTTTATCAAACTATGTCCTCCCCCATTGCAAACGTAAAGCTTGAGTATAACTGCAATAAGCATTTTAAACTTATATGCCAACCCCGTACGAAGGACGGGTACTCTGCTAGTCTTTAATATTTTTTACATCCACTAAATCTAGAAACATGTGAAATATTCTTACTCTATCGTAGAACATTATGGACCATCACACATTTTTCATATTTTATTTTGAAAGTTATAATACACTCTAGAACACCCTACATATGACATTTCCTAGATCACCAAGGAAAACTCTGAAACAGTGTATAAAAAATGCTATACTTTCAAGCACACACACATTTTACGTCATATTCAGCATGATCTCGAACATTCACTACCTTTCGTGATTGAATGTAACCCTATTGTTAATAAAGACACACTACATAAGATTTTTTAAAGAGCTGCAGACAAAAACATAACCGGTGTAAAGGCAAATTCTCACAGTTTTACAGTAGACTCCCTCTTATCCGGACTCCTCGGGACCGAGAACAGTCCGGATAACGGTTTTTCCGGTTAAACCGACGTCCCCAAAAACTTGTTAAAACGGACCGTTTGAATGCATGCTGTATAAGCCAATAATGATTATTACGTATTTAGACACGTGATCACAGTTCTAAAATCTTTCCCACGAGAACAGTAGTTTCAGTAACTCCCACTCCCTGCCGATCTAGTCCGGTTAAACCGATGTGCTGATAAAAATTGTCCGGTTAAAGAGATGTCATTTCCACCAAGTGTTAAACTGATGTCCGGTTAAAAGGTGTCCGGATAAGAGGGAGTCTAGTGTAATGGCCACCTTTTTTTTATCCAATAATATTCGGCTTGCATTTTAAATCCAATGATTTTACAGTAAAACAGTAACTTCGTTGATGGGAAAAGCCTTGAGGTAAAACTGGGGGCTATTTCCTAAACTGTTTAAGTAGCTACCACCTTCCATTGAATACTATTACTAAACTTATATTACCTCCATGGCCATTAAATTAAAACATTAAGGTTTTGGCCTTGTGTAGTTACACAAGACATCTCCATTTCTTCTATCACCCGCCTCTTATAATTTAGACCCAAGTTTAGAGACTTATTTCATTACTTGGTCTTTCCACTTCATTCCTTGTCTAGCTTGTGGTAGACCTTGGAATACAACGTTTAAAAGTCGACCACTTTTGGTGGTTGAGTTTTGATTGTTGTAGTTGGTGTTGGTTGAGTTTGAAGTTGAGTTGAATTAGGGGTTGTAGCACCCCTATATATCTGGGCGCTTATATATTTCTCTTAGCTCTCTATTCTTTCGTATCTTAATTTCTGTTATCTTGAACTGGTCCGTATTTTTTTTCTGCTCTTTATTCTCAAAACCCAATAATACCATTTTTCAGATACCTCTTGGTCAGTGCCCAAGATTCTGAACATTACAGTGCTACTGGGATATCTATGGTGTGGTATAAATTGATTTTGGTTTCTACTGACAGCCATTAGGACTATAACAGTTTTCTAGAGACTAATATTGCTACCTTCTGTACCGGTTGACAATGTCATAAATAACCAATATTTTGTATGTCGCCAAACAGACATTGGCACATAAAGACAACTATCAACCGCCTGCCAACGACTTCAAACTTAATCAATTAAGTGATATTTTCTTGAAAAAATATTTCCCTAACATGAGTTCTAGTTTTCACAGCATAGACCTATGTTTACACAGATTATGTTTACGTTGAAACTTGATTGCAAGTGTTTAGGATAAGTATATATATAGTTCAAAATTACACATTTCCTGAAAACACAAATCCGTTACGGTAAGAAAAAACTACATGCAGTAACGTGTAATACTGACGATCAATATTTTGTAAACATCCTGAAACGTAAACATTTAAGTGACAATTTGAAACCATACTTTTAGTGAAACCTAATTACATTGAAACAAACTTCAAATAAGTGTCGACTCTGCTAATCTTTTTAGCGAATTTCCCATATAGGGAATAAGCTATTACCGTAGTACTCATGGTAAGACCTGGACGCGGGACCGATTTTTTTTTTTCGTTTTGAGGTCCCTAGAGGCCAAAAACACCATCCGTTCAAATTCATATATATATATATACATATATATATACATATATATATGTCCGTCAGCACGATAACTCGAGCAAAAATGATCCGATTTTGATGAAATTTGGTACAAACGTGTAAACCTACGTTTATTCGAACGAGTTCGCGATCCAGCATGATCGGACCTTGGGAACGGGGGTTTACGGGGGGTTTTATGGGGTAAAAATAGGTTTTTCCCATTTTTGACCCAAAAAACATAAAATTTAGCAATTTCTTTCCAAACCATTTTGTAGAGCTTAAAAAAACAAATAATTTAGTATATTGAAGCGTTATTATGCGCCTAATGGTTACGGAGAAAATTCCAAAAAATTGTAAATTTAAAATTCCCATGTTATTCTTATGGAGAATAAGTAAACTGTTGTAGTTTGCTTGTTTATGAACATATTTTGATCAAATTTGGAAAATGTTTTTATTTCTTACTAACTATTAAAATTTTACAAAAAAAAAACAGTTTTACCCTCCCTGATGCAGCAAACCTAAGTACAAACCTAAGTACTTGTTAAAATAATTATATTTAAATAGGGAATAAATGTTATATTTTTAAGTAGACATTTCAGTGTAAATCCAATCAGTCAAATGGAAATTCGCTTAGTCTGCAGGTTTGCTGCGGCGGGGGTATTTTAAAATTATAACTTGATTTCTAAAAAAACTGAAACCCCAAACTAAAATCTTAGCTTCGACATTCCCTTCCTTTCAAAATGATTTTTCTTTCAACATAAAAATCATGAATATCCCTCAAGTAGTTGAGTCATAATCTTGAAATAAAAAATCCTCCCACGTTTTAATCTTCTTCTATATAAATAAAATTAGAGTTTTGTCTGTACATTGCTCAGAATTATATATTTTTAGGTTATTTTTACGTTTTATACATTAAAGAAGCAGAAACAAGTCTTATCTCTATTTCTGTCTGTCTGTCTGTCTGTCTGTCTTTCTGTCTGTCTGTAAAACTCAAGATGGCATTTTACGCAATCTTCTCCGTGAAAACGAGAGTACCTATCAAGATCCAAGTAATTTTAATGTGTTCACTGGATTGGCGAGAGTGTCTTTAGCGATTAAAATATGGCCTCACTACTTTGTAAATAAAATTACGGACGTTCAAAAATGCAGTTTTGTGCGATTTTTGTCAAATTTTCGTTCAATTTTTATCACATAATCGTCTATGAAATAACGAACAGCTATTCGGATCAAGATTATTTTTTCTAGCTGTCACTGATATGTTTACAAATGTTGTTTACAAAAACCGCAACCATTTCGAATCACGTTTTGAAAGCAAATCCCAACCAAGTAGGATAAAACGCGTTTTTCTTACATAACGGATTTAATTAATCGCAAGTGCAATATCATAGTGTAACCGTAAATGAAATTAAATAACTAGGCATCATCTAGGTCAGGAACCAGAAATTCTTTGTGTATAAAATTGTTCTTGAGTTTTGATAACCAAACAAAAGACCTTGAATCAGTGTTGTATATGGCTGGGACACTTAATGATAGTCGCCAATAGCTTACAAACAAGGTTTCCACTCCATTGACGGCGCTTCAATGGCAATTGTGTAAAGTGTAAAGCAAAAAAATCACAACTGCAGTGGGTGATTGTAACAGAGGTTTACGGATGATGCTAAACTTGCTTTTCCAATGTGTCACTTTCTGTTTCTACTCACTGTGTAATGCAATCGCTGGACCATACAGCCAATAGGCTCATAGCCCATCTCTTGAGTACGTACGCCTACCTATTTATTCATCTAACAACCTTTTCGACGACGATCCTTGATACCAGTACTTTTCCATAGAATAAGCTGCCTACCTACTTAAGAAATAAAATTACAAATGTCCAAAAACCCAACATTGTGTGATTTTTGTCACATTCAACTGACTACTATAAGATCCCCGTACGTAGAACGGGCACACAGCTAGTATACAATAATTACAGTAAGATTCTTTTATGATGTAAAGACAGGTAGAAACCTAAACACCATATGACAAATCACAACAGTATGCATATACTAAAATGAAAATGCATTAATAAAGCTTTTAGAATAAAATCTAATTGGTAAAAATCTTGTAATTTAACCCAAACACTTCTTCCTGCCTGAAATCAGTTGTTACAAAACTTCCTTGACATATTTGCCTTTTGCTCAAATTTGGGTAGTTGTGTTCCAATTTAAATTGTTGATACAGTGTTATCAGATGTTATACGTCAGCCTATGGCTTGAGTCATAGCCTCCTCTATACAAGGCCACAGCGTTGGTGTGTGGCGTCGCAATCTCAAAACTAATGCCATGGTAATAACATAAATAACGACGAAAGTGTAAACATAAACATTGCCTATTCTCTCCATTATTAATAAGTTCAACAGCTATTTTGTTTTGACGGTGTTGATGTTGATTTCAATGGCTATTTGATAGCGGTGTTGTCTTGTCGCCGCCTTGTGTTAGAGGAGGCTATGCTTGAGTATCACACCTATGTTATCCTTTATTCATAAGGAACACTGCTATATCAATGTTTCATGCATTCATTAATTTTTCAAAAGAGTTAGTTTGACCTTTTTGTTGTCTTAAAAATAAAAATAGTTAATATTTCAATCTCAGAGGAAGAAAATAAGAGTTTGTTTACCAATACATTTTTTTGTGCAAGCAAGAGTAGTAATGATATCGGAGCAGTACAGGTAACCATAAGAATCAACTCTTCATTCTTCAACTCTACCTGAAGCCCCAAGTAAACTGGTCAATGATGGACTGATAGTGAGTGGTGGCCTCATCGTGCATGGACCAAGCACCTCCAATGAACTCAAGTTGTCCGTTAGCAACCAGACGCTTTACAATGTGACGCTCGTGGTCTGCTTGCTGCTGCCACCACTTCCAGAAGAAGGCTGTCTCTACATAGATGAACCTAGGTGCAACATTTTATTTAAATTTGTCATTGATTACTCATAGTCATAGTGAAGATCTATTAGAAAGGCGCTTCAATAACATATTTCAATTTTTAAATTGAAAATTTGACTAACCATACCTTTTGTTAGGATCATGTTTCAATTGTTGAACAACACTGTCCAATATGTACTGAACCCCTGCAAGCTGAATTTTGGACTTACCTGTAAAAGAAATGAGATTATAATATTATTAAATTCAACCAATAAGAGATTATTGGTTCATGGTATCTCAGACTGGGTGTCATACTGAAGATGGCATAACTGCTGGGAGTTTGATATTCTTTTTGAAAGATTTAATATGGGTTTTAAATCATTCACCCATTTTCAAAGCTGCCATATTGACCAATATCATAGATAAAACGTTGCTAAACCTATACTAATACCGAGAGGTATTGCACTCAAATCTCTATCTAGTGTGCACTAAACTGATACAAAATTTAACATTTTTCTCAATACCAAAAAGGCTCCTTCATTTGTCACTTCTTTATTTTTTTGTTTTTCAAAATGTAGCAATAAATATAAGGCTGATAAAAGCAAATTTAATTTGTAATATTGTTCTTCAAATAATGTAAAGTATGTACCTACTAAATTATGAATACTGTGTATACCATATTACATAAAAAATTGAAACTAGAAAGTTTACATACTTAAATAATATAAAATTAAAAAAAAGAGAAGTTGTGGAACAATTTTCTATATTAGAGACAGCAATTGAGGAGAGTGTATTTGATTGATGGGATCACTTACAACCTCGTACAAGGGTCTACATTCAGTACATTACCAGGACCAAGACATTGTAGGGTGAATGAAATTGTGAGTTGATTATAGGCTACTTAAAAAGTTATTTTAGTGTCCAATCAAAAACTGAAAATTTTCAATAAAGTACTAAAAGGTAGGTTAAGCTTATGTTTTTCATTACAAAACACAATTCCATCACAGATAAACTGTGCACCCTTTTGGTTTAAGTTGTTTTAGCCTATTAACATTTTAATTTGAACTATTAAGCAATATTGAATAGATTCAATTCATACCTAAACTGTACACATTAAGATAGCTATTACTGTATTTTTATAGTGCCAGGTATATCGTTTAGCCCTAGTTTAAACTTTAACTAAATGTACAGTACTACAATTACAATTTCAGATCTAATGAGTTAAAACTGATCAGATTTGGGGTCACAGGTCATTGACGTCAGGATCCTTGTAATTTGAGACTCTCCTATCAGCTTTTGATATGGCTCTTATCATCTAATATAAAAACAAATAGTATCCCAAATCCATCAAATAACTCACCATATTTACATAAAGGAATAGTTTTTCCCCTTTATAGCTCAAATTTACAGCATTGTATTTTACTAGTAAGGACCTTTATTTTAAAGTGCATATCAAGCTATGCTTCTTAGGTACTTATTTAAAATTTTCTTCTGACTCCTAGCAGGCCGTCCCCTGAGGGTCAGCGGTAGCTTATCACTGAATAATGTGTTATTCAGGCACTAACAGGTTCAAACACAATGTTACTTATGGCTCAGTTAGTTCTGGGTTATAGATCTTTTACTGTGGTTTTGGTCAACTACCATCAAAATAGCATAAGACTGGGAACATTTTCTCACTTCCACATCCAATATTAACGTACATACATACGTGCACGTATTGAAACATCATCTTGATGAATGGTTTGTAAACAAATTCTTTGTCAGTAAAAATGTTTTATTGAGAACAAAATTCATATTTAGTTTGTTGCTTTGATGGGCAAATTGACACAAAACCAATTATTATAGTTGTAGCCAATATTGAATATTATACTTGTATATAAAAACAAAATTTTACTGCTGTCACGTTGACAGTTTCATGTTTCCAGATATATCATATATCCTATAAGAGCAACAGTTTGGAGACAGAGACTAATACTAATTAATACCAATACTGTAGTTATCTCAATTCTAAAGATACCAGATGTTATACTCACTCCCGTAATAGTACTGGTCAAGAGTTTTTAGCCAACCCACGTCATCATGGGTGTGTGGTATCAGATGTACGTTTATGAATCCCTCCTTAGGCACAGGGCATGACTAAAACATCGACCATAATAAATTGAGGTTAATGGCTATTCAATGTTACTAAATAATTTAAAATTAATAATCATCAAACACTTGAATGAACTGATGATATTATAAATATTAGTAAGTACTAAAGGTCGTCCAGTGGTCGAAAACTCGACCAAAAATATGTAATGTAACTTACAGACTTGTCTATTTTTCACACCACACTGTAAATAAAACATGTGATTGGAATTTCTTCTATTTGTTTTGATTTTCTGTTTATAATTCGTTGTTATTTTGACGCCAGCATTGCAACCCATAAGGCCCATGCTAATTTTTTTTATTATAAATTCATTTTTTGTGCTTATTTTTGAGCCTATTTTAATTTATAAAGGGATTCTGCACATCTACAGGAAAATATCTCTCTCACATAGATTTTCCCTGCGATGCACACTATTGCTGAGAAAAAAGGTTTTAAAGAAACATGCTTGCCTATTAATTGAGCGGAGCGAAGCGAAGCTCTTTGGGATCAACATCATTGCAATCTTTATAACACTTAATCTAAATAACGGCTAAACATATTTCAGCCAAACTTACGAAGGTTGTTTTGTCAAATGTTTAGATGGTTTAGACGTAACCAATTTCAATTTTTGATAATGCGTATATAATTTTAAATTAACTCAAAGTTTTTAAACTTTAACATTGGTCTTATGGGTTGCCATGATGGTTACAAAATAACAACGTAAATGTAAACAATACCCCCGCCGCAGCAAACCTGCAGACTAAGCGAATTTCCATTTGCCTGATTGGATTTACACTAAAATGTCTCCTTAAAAATATCACATTTATTCCCTATTTAAATAGAATCAGTTTAACACAAACTTAGGTTTGCTGCAACAGGGAGGGTAAAAGTGATTTTTTATGTAAAATGTTAATAGTTAGTAAGAAATAAAAACATTTTCCAAATTTGGGCAATATATGTTAATAAACAAGCAAACTACAACAATTTACTTATTCTCCATAAGAATAACATGGGAATTTTAAATTAACAATTTTTTTGAATTTTCTCCGTAACCATTAGGCGCATTATAACGCTTCAATATATTAAATTATTTGTTTTTTTAAGCTCTACAAAATAGTTTGGAAAGAAATTGCAAAATTGTATGTTTTTTGGGTCAAAAATAGGAAAAACCCATTTTTACCCCATAAAAGCCCCCATTAACCCCCGTTCCCATGGTCCGATCATGCTGGTTTGCGAACTTGTTCGAATAAACGTAGGTTTACACGTTTGTACCAAATTTAATCAAAATCGGATCATTTTTGCTCGAGTTATCGCGCTAACGGACACATATATATATATATATGAATTTGAAAGGATGGTGTTTTTGGCCTCTAGGGACCTCAAAACGAAAAAAAAAATCGGTCCCGGGTCCAGGTCTTACCATGAGTACTACGGTAATAGCTTATTCCCTATATGGGAAATTCGCTAAAACAAGGAATTATAGCACATGTCCAAATGATTTGAAGTTCAAATAAAGCCACAACCTAAACACAGTACAAAGGAAAAAATTTGGATGATGAGAACTGATCAAATAATACAGAGAAAGTCTTAAAACATTTAAGTCGCAATTTGGAAACGAACACTGATCGAATAGGTACAGTCATAGATAAATCATACTTTCTTAGGAACGGTATTTAACAGATTTTATTTACGTAGCTAAATAAGTTTATAACAAATAACATTTTATCTTAAACAATTCGTAGGTGAATCATATTCATGGATCAATCTCATTATTGGCAAACTTAAACAGGTCCATGACATGGGAAGTGGTGAAGGAAGTAGTAAAGGCTGAGGCTGAGAAGTGTGAGGTTTGGGAAACGTTTGTGGCAGTTACATTAATGTATCTGCAATACTAAAATGTTATGGGAAGGGAGGGAAACAGGTCCAAGATGTAGGAAGTAGTGAAGGAAATGGTAAAGGCGAACACTTCGTAGGGTGAGAACCATCTGTGGCAGTTATATTAATGTATCTGCAATCCTAAAATGCTATGGGAAGAGAGGGTAACATGTCCACAACGTTGGAAGTGGTGAGGGAAGTAGTAAAGGCTGGCAGTGCAAAGTGTGGGAACCGTTTGTGGTAGTTACAGTAATGTATCTGCAATACTATAATGCTATGGGAAGGAAGGTGAACAGGTCCACGACGTAGGAAGTGGCAAAGGAAGTAGTAAAGGGTAGCAGGGCAGAGTGTGGGACAGTTAGATTAATGTATCTAAAATCCTAAAATGGTATTGGGAAGGGAGGAAACCATATAGGTCCACGATGTAGAAAGTGGTGAAGGAATTAGTAAAGGCTAGCAGTGCAGTGTGTGGGAACGCTTTAAGGGAATTTAGATTAATGTATCTAAACTATTAAAATGCTATGGGAAGGAAGGGAAACAGGTCCATGACGTAGGAGGTGGTAAAGGAAGTAGTAAAGGCTAGCAGTGCGGAGTGTGGGAAGGCTTTGGGGCAGTTAAATTAACGTATATAAAATACTATGGCAAGGAAGGGAAACAGGTACATGACTTAGGAAGTGATGAAGGAAGTAGGACAGGCCATCAGTGCGGTGTCTGGGAACCGTCTGTGGCAGTTAGATTAATGTATCTGCAATCTTAAAATGCTCTAGGAAGGGAGGGAAACAGGTCCACGACGTAGTAAGTCGTGAAGGAAGTAGTATAGGTTAGCAGTGCAGAGTTTGGGAACATTTATATTTTGTATTATATCTATAAACATTCCGCCAACATACAGACACATACACGTTCTGCTGCATCTAGCTCTAGAGCACACCATCCTGCCAAGCCACGGCTATCCGGTCAAGGTAATATTCTTTCAGCGCCACCATCAGTCGGGATCGGTTTTCTATAGATTTGATGGAAAAATGTATGGAGTTCCGTGGTGTCATGATGTTACCAAGGATGATTCATTATAAACAGTGGTTCTATGATAAGGAATGCGAGTATCCCTTGGGCCTCTTTCACGTAAAAATTTAAAATTCTAATGGTTAAATAGAAAATCTTAACGGTGTTTAAGACAGTTTGAAAAGTTAACTTTATTTTGATTTCTTTACATCAATGCAATCATTTTTAAATGAAAATAAAACAATATTGTAAACAATCATTTTATAATTTACGAAAAGCATTTTTATTACAAACCATAGACAGACATTTGATTGCTGAACTAATAACAACTCTGTAATGTAAGTTTAAGTACTACTCGCACAAAACGTTTCTCCCCTCTAGTCATTGAAACCCGTTGTTTCTCCCCTTTAGTCATTGATACCCGTTGTTCTAGTTCTACTCTTACTCTCACTAAAGACAGCAGATAAAAATAAGATAAAATCATATTACAATAGTTTCAAAATGGCCTGTGACAATGATTTTTTGCTTTTTCGATACAACTTCTACAGAAATAGAAATTCTGTTTGTTGGTTTTTTTACTTTCTCCCCCTATACCATATAGTATATGGAGAAAGTATTGTTTTCGTCAAAATTTTCGAGTTTGAGTTTTGAGTGGATATATTCGTTTTGGGTCCCCCTGGACCCCAAAAAGTGGTTTTCGAAGTGATGTCTTTGTGTGTGTGTGTGTGTGTGTGCGTGTGTGTGTGTGTGTGTCTGGATGTGTACAGAGCTAGAGACTACACCTGTGTTCCGATTTCGATGAAATTTGGTGTGTAGGTTCAAATCCATGGTATCTCCAGGCGTTTGTTTCATTTTTTTTTAATTTTGATTTTTAATGGGAATTTTCCCATAAAAAACCGGAAAAATCTGATTTTCTCAAAAATGGCTCAAACGATTTTGATAAAAATTTAGTATGTTATAGTCCTTTAAATTCTGAAGAAAATTGTACAAATCCCATTTCCGTATATTTACTCTCACCGCTTACACATGATAAAGGTTGTTGACAAACTTATGGGAGAAAGTATATGTCAGAATGCTGATACCGTTTATTTTCATTGGGATTTAGCATACGGTAATAGTTTTATGCCAATTAAAACCAACTGATGTTTTACTTCTTTTTATTATATTTTGTAATTTGCTTGTATACTGTGGATGGCTTGTTGTAAACACATGTGATATAGTGACATTTCTTTTGTTTACCTTTTCCTTTTTAGCGAATTTCCCTATAGGGAAGTATTACCGTAGGTGGCATGGTAAGACCTAGGCCCGAGACCGATTTACTTTTTTCATTTTGATGTCCCCAGAGGCCAAAAACACCATTCGTTCAAATTTTTATAGAGGTATATATATATATATATATACCCTATAAAAATTTTTTATAGAGGCTTTTATAGAGGCTTTGCCCCGTTTAACTTCATAAGTATTCGCATGGCTCATTCACGTCCTGGTTGAAGTTCGTTCGCTACGTTCACTCAACTTTAGGTTGGAGCTCGTTCGCTGCGCTCACTTGCCTTCAGGTTAGCTCGTTCGCTACGCTAACTCGCCTCCAGGTTGAAGTTCGTTCGCTACGCTCACTCACCTTTTGGTTGGAAATTATAGCTGTTGTCTTAAATAAAAAAAAAAATAATAGTGCTGCACCCTGTTGGTAATCCTTGTAACTTTTATGCTATTGAACATCATAGAACAGAACCAACTTGTTTAATTGAAACAGCTGTTAAGATTCATTAATTCTTTTTAAATATGAAAAACCATAAGGTTTACATGGGGAACTACAGAGCCACTGGGGCGGAGCCCGAAAGGATTTTTGGGATAATAATATGCTTTAATGTTAATCGGGAATGTGAGCTATCATCATGCCAAATTTCAGCCCAATCCGTCCAGTAGTTTATGCGTGATTGAGCAACACACACACACACAAACTCACAAACTTTCAGATTTATAATATTAGTAAGATATATATGTGTGTGTGTGTGTGTGTGTGTGTGTGTCCGTGAAAGCGATAACTTGAGTAATTTTCGCCCGATTTTGATGAAATTTGGTGTAAAGGTGTAAGGCGGAATAAACTTGAATGAGTTCACAAACCAGCATGATCAGA